ACATTCTGATGTTCAAACAAATCCTATTTTCTATCACACTGCAAAGCAGTGTTGAAAGAAAATGCACATCATCCATCATAATCAGTTATTGACTATATAAAAGATACAATTTTACTTTCAGTTCCCAATGTAGAATTTAGTGAAAACCTCTAGTTTTGAAAAACAGAGGAATTGATTCTTAACAGTTGTCGGTTTACCTGTTGCTGCTATAGTTGAAGATCTTGTAGAACCTGTTGCAGTTTCATTAACAGGATTAAAGTAATTAAACAAAAGATAAAAATGTTAGTTTTTCCAGGAATATCACATTGGTGATGTTCAAATTCTATTTTGCATTGCACTGCAAAGCATTATGGAACAAAAATGCACATACTCCACTACAATCAATTATTGAATAAATTAAAGATACAATTTTACTTTAATTTCCCAATGTTCCATAATGATTTTTAAATGTTCTCTGTTACTGTATGTTACATATTCCCATCTAGCTATGATAAAGAGAGGAATTGATCATTTACATTCTCTGATTTACCTGGTATCGTTGTAGCTGGAGGTGCTGTACCATCTATTGCAATTTTGTTAACAGGATTAAAAAAAAATGAAACAGAAATATGTTAGGTCTTTCAGAAGTATCACATTTGGATGGTCAGACTAACTCTGTGTTGCATCTTAAGAAAATCAAACTACAATGATGTGGAACAATCTCCCACTATTATTTTCATACCAATGGTGTGTACTACTTTAAAATCTGAACAAGTTGCTCACTGTAACTTTAACCTTATGAGTATAACTGCTCATAACAAATTAGCAGGAGTGCTTCACTTTACTGCTTCGGTTCAGAAACACACTGGTAAAATAGGCTAATTGGTGCCTGGGGAAAATGTCCACAGCTGTGAGCGTGCACATGCCTGTCTCTGTGTTTCTGCCTTACGATGGACTTGCTTCCCTTCCAGAGTGTTTCCCTCCTCGCACCCGCAGCTTGAAAACAGCAGCTAGAAATGGGTGGGCGGTGTGGCAAAAGGCAGGGGCTGATTCTTAATATGATCACCTTCCTTACAGCCTAGCTCCACAGTTGTCCTCAGGTGGCTAAACGCTGACTACAACCTACAGAGGGATGTACACTATTTATAGACGCAAATGTGTCTGACATTTAGGACCTTGCTGACCTCTGGAGTCAGCATTATGTGAAAACAGCCCACAGTTCCACATGGGTGCTCTAGAGCTCCACTGGAACAAAAATCAACAGATACGTCAAGATAAGGCCAAGGAAATGAAATGTTCCCTTGCTGACTATGATGTTAATTTATGAATCATTTTTCTTTCTTGCATGTGTAATCATTTGATAATAGTCTTATTTTCAAAAATGAATAAATAGACACAGCTTTACTTTCTGTATACAGTATGTGTACTAAATAGACCGATTCTATCACTTATTTGCAGTACTGTATGTCTTATAATGGGGCAGTTAGACATGACAGAATTCTCTTTCTTTGCTGTTTTCCTCAATTTTGTAACTGCATCTGCACGAGCGTGAGTCGGCTATTGTTGAAATAAGCCAATACAAAGTTTAACGAAGTTTGTAAAAACCTGAAATTCTTCAGTTCACGTCTTTCGAACCCCATTCATTTTCATACTCCAGGTTAAATATTTGTTTAACTGATAAAATAAAGTTTCTCCTGGAATCAGATCCTTTTCCAAATGGAAAAGATCTATGTCTATATACAGTAGTGTGTTTGTTCTCTGGGAGAACAAAAACTATACAGATATCTTTCAAGTTAAGCTACAATGTAGTAAAATAAAATGTTAAAAATGGGGAACTTATGAACAGGAACATAATATTGATCTCTGTGATGCCTCAGTAATTCTGTTCATTTCTGAATTGTCGTATTTGCTACATTTTTTCCATGTTAATGCTTTCTTCCCTCTTTAAAATGTTACAATTTCATTTTTAATTAAAAAGTGTGGATGAACTAGTCAATCCTTCAGATTTTCCTTTCAAATAAGTGATTTTCTTAAAAAAGTGTTTCTATATATCCATAGAAAAGAAAAGGCTGTCCAGCGTCTCAGCTTTTGCTTTGTGTTCATATTAGAGCAGTATGAACTTACAAGCAGGTATAACCAACTAACCACTAATCATATGAGCCTATCTTGAGGTTTCTGATCAACCTGCTTTGATACCAAAATAGCAAAATCTGAAACAATTAATGGAAAATGAAAACATTTATATAAATTTCATACTCACTTTTTGAATGTGTGTGCACAAGGCACACACAGGTGCTAGCCAATATAAACCACGTTTTCCAATCCATTTTATTAAGATGTCCTTCTTTTCAAACAAACAATATGAATAGCAGAAACAATGGACAGTGAAACAGTTTCCCTGCACCTTTTAACTGCTGTTGTAAATTTGGTTAATTATAAATGAACTAGCCTGGATCCAAGAACAGAGCATTTATGGCCTGCATTTATTTGTTTTTATCCTTGCTCAGGACATTTTTATCCTGTGACAGACTGAGGATAGAGTCACAAATACGTCATGTACTGTAGATAAAAAAGGATTCTTGTTGAGGTAAAACAAGAAATTACAATATATTTCCAGTACTTTTGTTTGAACAGAAAAGTTTTCTAAAAATAAAATCTGGTGTAAATCATTATTTCTTGAACCTAACATTCCAAATAGCAAACCTGACACTAGAAGCGATCATAGTGGTTATCAAAAGTATTCACCCCTTTTGCATTTTGCACATTTTATGGTGCTACAATATGGAATCATAATATATTGGGATTTTTTGCCATAGACACAAAACGTTCAATAATGTCAACATGAAACAAAATTCTATAGATCTTCCTAAAGTAATACTAAATACAAAACATACAATAACTGATTGAATAACATTTCCCCTTTCCTATGACAAACCTACTGTAAATAGGCTCTGCTGACACAAATTGTCTTCAGAAGTCAGATAATTAGTTGAATGGAGTCCACCTTGGTGCAATTAAAGTACTTCACATGAATTCAGCATAAATACACCCCTCTCTGGGGGGTCCCACAGTTGATTAGTACAACTCCCAACAAAACTACATCATGAAGACAAAGGAATATTTAAAGAAAAACACCAATGGTTTCCAGACCAGTCCTGGTCACCTCTGTGTCTGCTTGTGTTTGTACTAGTTGAGTTCTAATTCATGACTTTAATTGATCTGCTCACATGTTTAGGCTTTTGTTTAACTTGTATTTGTTCTTAGTCAAGGTTTTCAAAAAGATCCCACTACAAGAGAACTGTTTCTGGCATCTCCAGCACTGAAATCTTTAATTACTCTCCCCCCAGCTTGATGGCCCTCTATCAAAGCAGCCCTTAACAGGCGATCAATGTATGACGAACAGACACTTCGGGATTGACACTGTATCAGACACTCCCACAATAAACTTTTTTTTCTTCTTCTGTAGAGATCAAGTCAACTAAATTTAAAGCAATAGGCTTCAATGAGGGTGGTGCTGAAACTCAGAAATTGGTACAGGGTTGTTACCAGTTACAAATTCCACTTGACTTTTTTAAACAAACAAATTTGGAAACCATTTTTATAATGTGCCAAGGACCAAAAACTGAAATCAATTAGTCTGTAATTAACAGCAGCTTTGCTTCACTTCACGTGGATTCTGCAGAAGCTACAAGACTCAGAAATCCCCTGGGCCCAGAGCTGAAAACTAATGGCAATATGATATCAGAGAACATCACTTTTAATAACCATTCGTTCAGTTCAGGGTCACGGTGGCCCAGAGCTTGCCCAGGAAGGACAGGACACAAGGTGAGATACACCCTGTGTGGGACACCAGTCTATTGCAGAGCACACACACACAGACACCTGGGCCAGTTTTCCGAAAAGGAAGTTAACCTATCGGTATGTCTTTGGACAGCCAGGGAAAACCAGAGCACTCAGAGTAAACGCACATGAACACAGGACAAAATGCTATGTTAACCACTTCCCCACCCTACTGGCATATACTGTATATATAAAATGTATATTACAAGTTTCAATGCAAATCCTATATCCATCCTATATTCTAACTCTAAAATCTGTCCAAATATTCCAGCCTTTATTGTTCAATTTTCCAGTCTACTTTAAAGACAAAAACGAGCATTTCCTCTTACACCTTAAACATTTGAAGACAGTAGAAAATTGATTTTGACCGTTTCTGCTGTGTGATCCTGCACACGGGCCATTGCAGTTGTGGAAGTGAAACAAGAACTTAGAAGCCGTTCCGGGGAGAAAAAATGAAAGAGCTCTGAAAGAGTTCATCTAGCTATTCTATAAAACTGTATCAAACCAGGCGGAAATTGACTCTCTTTCTAGAGGCGATAAAGAGTTAAAGAACCTTTTCTTGCTTTGCTTACAGTTTGAGCTCATTCTTTCATAGCAATATGTACTGTGAATCTCTGAAGGTTGTAGAAAGTCTACATGACATTAAAAAAATATCTGCCTTTTCATAGAAAAGACACTGCTTTGAAATTCTGTTGGTTCTCAAAACTCATCGATCTTCCTATTCTGTAGAGGATTTGTGTCCAGAGTTGTCCACTCCATTAAATGTTCACAGAGTAGATATGGATCTATTTGAACATAACAGACGGTGCAATTGGATTATGAAATGAATGGGCAATTAATTCAGTGGAGCAGAAACAGTTCTGGGCTGTAGTAACTCCTGAAACTGTACTCCAAATGGTCCATTTGTAGACAAAGCAAATGCTTTTCCTGTCCTTTTGATTTAAGAATAATAGTCCAAATAATGACATCACAGCAACAATAAGCTTCAAGATGGAGGAAGGTATTATGATTTTTAACACAATGCACAAAAGTCTAGAAATTAACTGACAGCCAGCACCACTTTTATTTAACCCTTTGCATTTATTTTATTTTACTATGCATTTCTGACTAGAACGCCAGAATTAATTGGGAGATAACTTATCAAAATAAACAACAGCAAAAAAGTTAGATTTGTCAAATAAAAACATTTGACTAACATAGTATATCTTAAATAAACATTTTCTTTAGTGTGATATGTGATATGGAGAGTAAAAACACCTACACAAATAAGACAGTGGCTTTTCACAAAATGGAAGACAGAGCCTGACCCATGTCTAAGTGAAGGGAGGGACGTAATTTAACTGAAAATGAAAGGAAAGAGATGGAACTATTGTCGGCCAATTATTCAGTCAGGGGACTAATGAAGTAAAAGATCCAAGGCTAGTTTCACACTGTTTCCAAATATCTGCCCTTAGCAAAAGGTTTGTGTGGAGTAATGCAGGTTCTAGCAGGTCACAGCTATTTGATTATCGAAATCAACCGCTGAAGCAAAGAGGAAATCGTCAATCTTTTACGACTCCTGTACTTTCATTACTGCAGATGCCTTTGTGGTCTGATTCAAAATCTTCCTGAACATGTATTGCCCTTTTAACATACATGATGACTGCCAAAGGTATTTAACGACCTTGTAGCATGCAATCAATATCGATCACAGAAAATTGTTCTTTGGCACAAAGTACTGTAAGATTTAACCTCTTCCAAAATTAACTAGAATAGGGGTGATCAAATCTGTAGAGACACAACCCAGTAGGGTTTATGGATCACTCTATAATAATGAATTTCTAAAATTTGGAATAAAAAGCAGGTAACCGATATGGCACATACAGTATGGCTTTTCTAACGTTCTCCTTCTTAAACAGCCTTAAATCAATGGTTTAAGGGTGACCAATAGGTGGATTGTGATTTTCCACACAGAACCAGGTTTACCCCTTAGTGAGAATTTCAAACATTGCCACGAGTCCATTTTGTTCAACCTCAATAGGGGGTTGAACAGAACTTCAACAGAAATTTCTCAATGGGGCGATTTATGGCTTATCATAGATCATAGATATTATATTCAAATATGTCTTGGGCTCAAAGTCTAAAAGTCCAGACCCTTTAGAGACCCACCCCTTTATGTGTAATGTAAATCAGATCATTTTTCACCATTAACGGTTTGTAATATCTGAAGAACTGGAGCCTCATAAAGTTTTGTTTTGCAGTAACCTTAAAACAGGCCAAGAGTAGTTCGGAGGTGGAAAAGTTCATCGACGTGGGCACTACTAGATCACAGGCCTGAGGCGGAAAAAATTACAAACGTAATGTACAGTATTAGTGGTTCTACAGTGTGGTAAAAAAAGAACGCCTCTGATCATCAGAGAGAAATACATTTTTAAAATATATCTGTTTTACGCTGAAAAGGACATTTATATTAAACGTTGATAATGCACATAAATACCTTCAATGAAAAAAAAAAAACAGACAATTTACACTGTAAAATAAATGTGTCCATACAGTATGTGTGACAGAGGCACATGATGAGGAATCCGTGACCGAATTCGAGATAAGTTAGCCACGTTGTAATATTACAAGGGAGACGGCACCATGCTGTCGTTTTGAGGAGGGGTTTCCCTCCGACAGTTAAAAAGCACATAAAGCGATTGCGTGCTTGAATGAACGAAATCAGTCTTTATAGGCGACATCCGCGCTGCCGCTTCCTCGGCTCTTTCTTCGCGGTGTGTCGCCGAGGCGCGGAGCCGACCAGCCCCAGCGGGGCCGTACCCTCCCCCGGGGCGACCGGGCGCCGGCCCGGTCAGGGACCGGTGGCGCCCCCCGCAGGCGTGTGCGCCGTCAGAAATAGTCCCTCCTGCGAGTGTCGTCGCTGATGAACGAGGGGTTATACTGTCCGGGGTAGATGCAGGAGTGGCGAGTGCCGGGCAATCCAGAGTAAGGGTACAGTCCGTTTCTCTCCAGCTCATGGTTTCTTAGAGCGGGCTGCAACGTTTAAAAAACAAACAAACAAACAAACAATGAGACGGAACTCTCTCCACAGGCTGCTGTACACAAGTCCCTATTTTCCCGTGGTACAGTAGATGTTTTTTTTTTCCGGCTTCTCAGCAGACACTGCAGTTTAGTGAAGCTCGGCATTATTGTCACAAGCCTTTCTGAATTAGAGGACAAATGCTTTATAAACCGCTGTACGTGCACCAAAAATGTACGCTACTATTTTGTCACTTGACAACCCACAAGATAGGAATTCACTAAGCTCTACATTCTTTTCCCCATTTTCTTTTGTTTTGCAGTGTGATGCAGATGCAACAGCAATATCTAAAAACTGTACGTACAGAATAATATATGTCAGTCATCTGAAGAAGGTTTTTGGTGCTTCCGTTCTCCTGCATTTCTATCGTCTCTCTCCCCCACTCCACGGAGATTCTGTTACTCTTTGGATACTCTGCGTAAGGAGACATTTGAAACTCTCCGCTCTTGAAGATTAGTTTACTGATGTCATTTTTGTCCTTCCTGTGAACAGTAAGAGAATTGATAATGTCCTGTAAGCAATATTTTAAAGCAGGGTTTTGGATTTTAATACTTTTTTTCTTGTTATGTTAATTGCCTTGAATGTGATTTCTTTACAATATTCAAGCAGTGAACTGATTTTGTGTATTAAATGACATGTTAATAAATTCTTTTTAGAATCAAATTAGATAATATTGCAAACATTGAACGCATTAATTATTAGCATTTTCTGAAGAAACAGAATAGTATTTATCTGGTAAAGACATCATGCACTGCAAGTGCCTCAGGTTCTTTTCATATCATCTTCTTGACAGAAAGTTGGCTCATTGTTCTTAAGTCCAATGTTAAGTTTTTAAATACAGATAGCGTGATGCCCCTTTCTTATTTTCAGGTAATGTCAATGTATTTTAGATATACACATTTACACATGTAGAATGTACAGACAAGGAATACTGTACAAAGTCACACTTGTTAAGTCTTGAAATTCTGAAGCATTTTTGTTTTGGAAGAGCTGTTCCAGTACTACAGAAATGTCAGTCAGTAAGAGGAATCAACAGTACTGTAAGGTTTTCCTTGTCTGATATGAGCTACAGAAGCCTCACTGTAAGTCTATTTATGTACCCTTCCATAACCAACCTTATCTAAATCACTCCTTTGCAATGACCTCAACATAACTAGATGATGCAGACCAATGTCCAAAGATCCAAAGATCATTCAGTAACCTTTTATGTGTAAAACCTACATAAAAATAGTTACAGCACGTAACATAACTGCAGCCTGAAAAAACACAGCGATCAGAAATGTGATCAGAAATGTAGCATTTTTCTCCCTAGGCAACTGACTATTTTAGGCATTGCATTTGATATTATTTTTAACAATGGATTATAAAGTAAATATTCATATGCACTTTAAATAGTACAGATCTCAGTAATAAGCTGCCGATACAGGCACCCAGATACAAATGTGCCCTAAACTACACACCCGCTATGAGCAAAAATCCCTCACGATGAATTCATGTAACTTGTAAGTAAAAGTCAGAGGTGCTACACTCACCTGCAACAGGTAATTATTAGAACAATTAACAGAATTAACAGCAAGCCACCTCCAGCAGGGAACACGACCAGAGCAATAAGTTTGTAAACTGAAAAAAGAGAGAAAATACAATTGCAAAACATGTACTGTAATCTGATAGACTAAACTCCGCACAGTTTATATGGCTAATTATGAAAGAGCTTACTCACAGTTTCCACAATTGAATCCTCCAAATCCAAAAGGACAGCTGCAATATAAGCATATATAATTTAACTCCTAGATCATTAATTCTGTAATGAAACATTTAATGTTTAACACATCTTTATTAATTTGCTTTTTCTAATCATTCCTCTTACCTGACACAGGTGCCATTTTCCAGTTTATACCCATCATTACAGGCTAAGAAAGAGAAGGGTGACAATAATGAAGAGACGAGAAGCATTTTGTTTTCTTACTTGAAAAAATCATTTGCATTCTATGTTACAGACGGTTTTCATATTTTATTTTTCCAATAGTTTTCAATAAAGCAATGCAAGCACAATTATCGGCAGTGTGTTCTGATGGCATAAGTTTCCTGGATTATCTTCAAAACCACATACATTTATTGTACCTCTCTTTATTCTTCAAAGTCTTTCAAACTTTACAACTGTGGATTTTTAAGGTCAAGTTGCAGTTTGTTTTTACATGTATTTTCACTTTATTCACATTTCACACTTATTTATGAATTCAGAAATGTTTCAAGTGTTCATCCTTCAAGTGTCACTTCCACTTTATCTCTCACAGCTGATAGTACAGGAGGACAAAGACTATAAGAGGAACCCGATGCCTTGAGAACTGAGAGATGGTGATATTATATACTGTTGGTAATTACACATTAATGGAATAAAAAACCTTTTCCCTTGTAATCTGTCAGTTAAAATCGTATGCTTTTGTGCGTAGATGCCCTATTAACACTGTAGTTCATATCCTGGATATTTAACAAGATATAGCAACACTATAGTTCAAAGTTTTAATAAACCATTAAAGACAATTTATTATTGTTTAATAAAAGCTAATAGTTAATAATAGCTTAAATACTTTCCAAAGATTTATCAAAAAACAAAGCATGATATCCGCATTAAAGTTCTCCTTTTTACTGTATTTAGCAACACCTACAGTAGGTGATGTCTTATTACTACTTACAATTATCTAATAGCCTATGTTTGAAACCTTAATAAGGTATTGATAACTAGCAGCTGAAACAGTTCATCGGGTAAATGGAGTGCACCTCCTGTAGATTCTGGGGACGGCCATACCTCTGCATGATAGATCTTCAGCGCTGTATTTGAAGTATCCTGGCAGGCACTCACAGACTTCAATCCCACTGCTGTCACCGCATGTGGACCTCTCCGTGTCACAGCGGGAATTATTTTTGGCACACAAACTGTCAGCTGCAGGACAGAACCAGGATATGGGTTTGGGTTTCAAACATCCACTATACTGAATTGTACCCGCAATTAATTACCTGTACCTTTTTTTCATGCATAGTGCTAAAAGCCAGCAAATCTAAATTCTAAGAAATGAAACTGATACAGTACCTTGTATGTGGGGTTTTTTTTTTCTGAGGGGGAGTACTCATGCTGAGGCAGAAATGAGACGGAGCACAATTCCTAACTAACTCATTTGAGTTTCCAAACCACCTGAACAGAGCGGACTTCATACACTATGTTCTCTTTTGTCAGGCTTGGATGATCTATCCCAGTTTCTTTTTCATAATCTGAAAAGACCCTGGGGTGGATGTCCCAAGCCTGACACCTAGTAGAAGATTTAAGCACGGTGAAGTGTTTGATTGTGGTGAATTGAAACACTTAAACTAAGTGAGGTCAGAGTCAATGGGCAACATAGCAAAGTTATTGCTACTGAATTATTGCAAAACTGATGAAAAAAAGAATATACAATGCAGTCATAATGCATTTTGATATAAATTATAATGTTCATACGAATCTTCCGTTTCGTAACTAATTCCTTATTCATACAGTATAACATCATCTACTGATTATAGAACAAGTAAAAGTTTATTCCCGAAGAAGGCTCCACGGCCAAAACGTTGTGTTTTCTTTCTTCTTTTTTTCAGCATGGAATAAACCTTAACTTGTTCCTTTGCAGCCTACGCATGCTGACGCAGCTGCCCACCTGCACTACCTGCTGATTGCACTGTGTAAGCGTTAATGAAGAACTAGGTAAAAACAAGAGAGATCTACCTCTGTAGGACAGGCTGCACCGATGAACAACGCAACACCCTGTTGTAGCTGGAGTGCAGCTCTTCAGGTATTCATTTATATTCCTAAGCACATCCACACTGGTGACATTAGCAGTCACTGAGAATATGTTCACAGCAGAACAACGGATCCCGTCGGCCTCACTTAAAGATAAGACAAATCACATATAGATATTTTTGTTAGAATGCAATGTTAAGAAGTCTTAAACGTGCACAATTGCAACAAATCATTGCAGTTTTAATTCGAACCCATAAACTGTGTAGTGCATGTTCGGGGATACCTCTACTATTATGTTTATCATTTTCCCATTTTCCTTGAACATTGCAAACTTGCACCTTTTTAAATGAATAAACCTGGGAGTAAATAATGTCCTGTAATGCTGTCAAAACATAAGTAACATCACTGACAATAAAAGCTATGAAGCTAACAGGCCTGAGACTACAATAAAAACTATAGGTTTCAGTTTCAGTTTGTAGAAGGAAAATCTAAGAAACTAACCACATTTTGATAACCTGTTGGAAAATGCATTAAGCATGTTAACCATTAACACAGCTTCTCTGCTAAGCACACTCAAGTTTAAATAAAATGAAGATTATTCACTAACAACATACCTTGAAACAGTGACTGTTGACTTAGAATAACCCCCTAAGAGTGAAAGTGATGCATTGAGCTGAAAAAAAGGAATAAGTTAAGATTATTAAGATTATATACCCTATTTCTTAAGACGGGTGTTTTTGCATCCAATTTAGTGGCTTCAGCTAGGAAACAGAAGCATAGTACAGTGTCTGTTCTACTGAACCTATAATTCTGAAATCAAACAGGTAATAATTACTGTATAATCTCATTACAATTCACAAATTAAAAGACCTGATTAATTTTCAATTGTACATCGAATGAACAAAACCTGATGCCACGGGGTGTTTCTTTGAGCTCCTCAGTAGCATCCTCCTACCTGCCCCAAACCAGGAGGGCAGAACGTTACAGAGCGTTCCTGCCTACTAATTGGGCATCACCAGGTCCAACAGGAATGGCCAGACTTCAGCCTCTTGGTTGCATTTCCAGTCATGATGACTGGATGGCGGCCATTATCTCTTCTAAACGGAAGCCATTTAAAAATCTAGATGGACTTTCATCAGTCCTAACCTTGAAAATCTTCCTTTTAACCAACAGTAATACGAGGGTTATGGGACATAGAGCAATGCATTGCAGCATTACTAAGAGACTGGGAAATTATTCATAATAAAAAACACACAGTTGAACACATTTGCACCTCACATGCTGCACTCTGCAACTGTACATTATGAGCTAGATTAACCTGTGGTCTAAATTAAATTATATTTTTTTAACAGAAATGGATTTTAATTTTACTATGGAGGCTTTGTGTTCCCTGTTAAAAAAAACTGCTTTTCACCCGGCTCCTTACTTCACATTAACTGCTTTATAAGAGCAGACAGCGTGCACAAAAGGACACCTTACTGTTACAAGGCAGGTTCAACACTAGAAAAATCAAACTGCATCGAAGTCAAAACCAGCCTTACCATTTGGATTATTTCTCGTTGCATTTCATGCTCATCAAAGCGTCTGTCCGTTGTGTTCGCTAGGTGCACATTTTTCACCGTGAAGGTACCCAGAAAAGTCTTTGCTATTGAAAGAGTTGCAGAATTGCAATAAATGAAATAAAGGCTCTCCACCATAGTAATCATCAGTGGAAAGAATACACCTCAAAAGTAGTGGAGATTAGTCACCTTAATGTTAATGTATAAATTAAACTAGTATAAGAAGGCACCATGCACCTCTAACTTTGCTAGAAAAATATTTGAATTAAAAATAGATTTGATAACAAAGGCCTTGAACATGAACATGATGAACTGCAAAGTAATATTTACAGCTGAGCTGTTTAAGCACTGGTGATCTATGATAAGGCCTTATTTCATAAGTATTTTATGACCCTTCACATAATGTACTTTACTTTATTACAAAAGTGAAGCATAGTTTCCCGTTAGGGAATTACTTTTACAGTAATATTTTTCAATAAGTTGGCATCCCTAATTCGTTTTGTGAAGTATTTTCATTTTTATTTCCAAAAGGGTGGATTAAAGGCAGGGCTTTTGCTCAGGTGCATTTAATATATCTCATCCAGAGAAGACTTATTATCATTATCAAAGCTCTGTACATTCAGTCTAGCAGTCTAGCAGGTGCTCTGTCTTACCGCGATTACATGTCCTTCCTTTTTCCAAGCTGTAGCCCAGGGGACACTCACAGGTGAAGGAGCCTTTAGTGTTGACACACGTGGAGCCAGAGGGACAGGGGCTGGACACACACTCATCCACATCTGAGCAGGACATAAGTGGAAGAGGGGATTAAACGGCCTAGTAATACACTTAGATTGCAGATCAGTGTAAAGTCTGCACCAATCCCGTCTATAAATTGCACAGGCACAGTGTTCAACAGACATTGCAGGACTGTAATCATTCCAAATGCTTTCTGTTGCTAAAATCTTTCATTGAGGTACATTTGAAACTCACATTTGAGATCTAATTTCCTAATTTGTTTGGATTCTATTATTTCTTATTATTTCTAACTTAAAGCTTCAGTTAGTTTGGTGGCCATTCAAGTTGGCCTTTTAGGACACCAGCTTTCAGTTTACTTTCCAAATACCTTTTCACCATGTCTGTAACTGCTATCCTGGAGCTACAGGTAAAGTACATTTCTCAAATTAAAAATATCCATCTGTAGGAAGATTTAAGGTACTTATTTTTTTCTCCTTCATCTAAGGAGAAAAAAAATATTGTTTCAGCTTCTCCTCTCCCCATATTCTCTTACAATATATTCGCTTACAAGCGAAAAGCAGATCAAAGCAATGCATCATAGAAAAAAGAGCATACAGCAACCTCATTAAAATATATGTCTTAGATTTCTCACATCATTGTTTGAGACTTTTCACAGAAAGGGCTAAATCTGAATTAAACACACAAAAAGTTAGAATGGGCAGATGTGCTGAACAGGAAGACTTCACCTTCGGTGCAGTTATCCCCTCTCCAGGACGACGGACAAATACAGTGAGATTTTCCAGGACTACATTTCCCACCATTTGCACAAGGATTTGGCTGGCATTTGTTCACTGTTGAAAATAAAAGAGACAACAGTAGAAAAAATACCCATCTATTCTGTTGTGATAAGCAATAAGTCAAGTGTTAAAGGTTGCGGTAGTATTGAAATCTATTGAAACCCATCTGGAACTGTCTCAGGGCTGAATACTCAAGCACTGTGGAATGATGGGAGCCCATGAGGAAGTGAGAGAAATCCCAGCTCATAGATGTAGGCCTGTTTGTGATCTGCTTGTTATGCTAAGCTACAGTACATCCTGAAGCTGGCCTCTTGAACAGTCCAATCAGAATACAACTGGGACTAATAAGTGGCAAATCAAGGCACATCTGAGCCTCAGTGCAGCTTCTGAGCTCCTCTGACTGAATTCCAGGACAGTGACGTTCAAACAAATATTGAACACAGCAATTCGCAGCCTTCTTATCTCATTCAGCAAAACCTTCTAAAGTTATCTGACATGGCTGAGGTTCCAGCTGTTGTGTCCGTATGGTTTATTCATAACACATGCAATTGCCAAGCGGAGACCACAAAAGTCATTGTAAAACACCTTGTGTGATGAGCCAAATTCTTTGTAGTTTACATATGCAGTATCTTATATCTGCCATACTAATAAAAGGGATTATCTACAGATACTACCAGGCTTGACATTTCTACAACAACATTTCTTGTGTTTATCCTGTACAGACCAACACAAAAAAGGAAGGCAGATATTTTAATACATCATAATAGCTGTTTAACCTTTGTGCACTTACTCAGACACCAGAAGAGGAAAATTTAATTACATTTCATGCTAGTAATGGTAGAGAGAAATCTGTTTTTTTCTTCAATTACACCTTGTCTTGAACACAATTAATTTATATTTTGCCATAGTCTTAAATATTCCTGAATCACTGTAAAATGTTAATAACTGAAACATTTTTAAAAATGATAGGAGGCTACTTAACACTGATATCTTATTAATTTAAGAACCTATTTAAGTTTCTTACACCCAGCAAATTGCATTTTAAGTATGAGTACAGAATATGCTTGCATGTAAAAATAACTCTAACCAAATAAACTAAGCTTGAAAAAGCACCATTTTGAAAAAAGTCTTAGATTGACATATCATTTACACCTTCTACACAATGCAAGAAAGCAATAACAAAGGCAAAAGGAATGCCAGTTTAATATTTGACTATTTTATTGATCATCTAAATTCCTGAAGTGAACTTTTATGGTGGCACAACACTAGATGGAGCTGTTATATTACTAACTGGGACATTCAGCTTTAGATAAGGAAAAAACCTCTGACAATTAAGGAAATTTCTCCCATTAGGATTTAGTTGGTATTGATATTCAGGTTAATATATTAGAACTCATGTGACAGTCAGGTGAGGCCCCCCCTGAAGAAACATGCCAAGCTAGATGACTTTACCTGGTGGAAGTGTTGTAGTCGCTGGAGCTGTTGTACTTGTAAGCTGGGTGATTGTGGTTGCTTTCTCAGTGAGTTTCTCAGTTGCAGATGTGGATGTAACAGTACTGCTCACCATAGTACTCCTGTAAAAACCTGTCGTTTGTTCAGTTTTTCCTGGTGTTTTGCCCGGTGTAGCAGTACTTGTTTCTAATACCAAGGTTGACACATTTGTAGGACGAACGCTAGTCCTCAAAGAGACCTGAGTGTGCGTTCCTTCAGTTCCTGCTGGTGAGAGATGCTGAGAGGTGGAGTCTGTGCTCAGGGGCTGGGAAGTTGTGGCCCAGGAGGTACTGTGTTCCGTCTGAATCGTCCGAGTCTCCTCTGTTGTGCCTGGCGCATAGAAACGGGTTGTTACCGGGGGCGAAGTCGTGATCACCTGGGTGTCTTGTTCAGTCAAAGGTGTCCTTTCGGTGATGCTCTTCTGTGTTGTAGGAGGGTTCTCTACAGTAGTTTTCTCCACCTTTTCCATTTTCGAAGTGAACAACTCTGTAACAGAGCCGTTGGTGACTAAGGATTCAGACGAACCAATTTCAGTGGAGGGGTCTTTCGCTGTGGTCTCCGATTCTGTTCGTGATGGTGGGCCTGTGGTTATGCTTGCATGTGTAACATCCTCTGGTGGGAGCGACTGGTTTCCATCTGTATTGTTATCTGTCCTGGGGAGCGGAGGCCCAGTTGAAGTGTCAGTGTCAGTAAGACTATGGGTAATGGACGTCACTGAGCCACCCCCATCTGCCCATGAGCTGTTTGTAAATGGCACGCTGTAATTGGAAGACAACGATGGTGGCACGGATGAAGAGGAAGAGGAAGAAGAGAACCCAGTTTTGGAGGAGGAGGGAGAACTCTGAGACATGACAGCAGAGCTGCTCGTTTCTGGATCTTCCGTGATACTCCAGGAAGAATTGAGAGGTGGAGTAGCATTGGGGGTACTGTCTGATGTTGTGGGTAAAGACGGATGAGTTACATTAGGAGGGCCGGTGCTGGGGTTTTCACCGCTGGAGACATGGGTGGTGAGGTGTCTTGATCCCTTGGTGCTCTGCCTGTGCTCAGGCCCAGTGGACGTCAGCTCAGATGTTGTCAGGTCCCCCTCGGTGCTGTTCCAAGGTTCGCTTCTCCCCGTGTTCATTTGGGAATGATCTGAGAATTGTGTTCCCTCAGCGTAAGGAGAGGTGCTATTTGTGGATAAAGACAACAAAGTCCTGGAAGAGATGTAAGTGCTGTCTGTCTGAGAAGGGGACTTCCATTCCTCCAGATGCGTTCCTGTGTGGACATCAGTTTGAGGACTGTGTTCAGTGGCTGAAAAAAAGGAACAGGAAAAATGTGAGGAAACTGGATCTTAACAGTAACCTCCTTAAAATGGACTGGGCGATAATGCAAATTATTCTTGGTGTGGTCTGGACCACAGACAACATTCATTACATGTCTTAAACTCTGGTGAGAAGTACTGATTACAGGATTTGTGCTTCTACACGTAACACACTGTTCACATGCTGAGGGCTGTCCGAAAGAGCCCAGGCAGGACAGAGGGCAAGCTCTTCGTTCAATAATGAGAGCCCCCAATGTATGTACCGGCATGCTCTCAGACATCAGATTAAGAAAAAAGGAAACAAAAAGATGGAGAGGGAGTCAAATACAGTCTTTCATTATGAAATTCACTCCTTATTTCCAAGGTAATAATTATTGGCATGTGATACACTGCTTTCGTTGCCAAAGGATCCCAGACTGCTTTGCAAATATAAGGAGCCCAACGTCACCCAGCCCTGAAGTCCAGCTTTCACCTGGGTGAGGCTGCAGATCCACTGCACTGCAGCTCATGAGCGGAGCAAGAAATTGCAACACTAACTGAATTAAGGGGGAATCAGGCCTGGACACTAAGGATAGCAGCTCTATTAGGAAGAGTGCTATAGGGTTTGCAGTGATCTAGTAGGCCGGACCTGGCTGTAACATGTCATCCAGAGGACAGCGCCTCCTACAGCAGTGGATTGGAAGTTCTGATACAGAGGAGCAATGGTCACCTACTGGTCCAACAACACCACTTGCAACAGCAACCTGGCTGTGTTTTCAGGTCTGCCTCCCAGGCACGTGATTGTGAAGGAATGAGACAAAAGTACAGTGGGGCAGGACTGATATGAACTCGGTAGAGTACTGGTGGGCACCAGTTTAAAGATTCTGCTCGATGCACAGAACAAGGAAGAAAATGTAGACTAGAAAGCTGTGGCTGGAATGGCTTCATAAATTAATTAGGAAGACATAAGCAGGAAGAAAACACATTATAAAATAAATTAAAAATAGAAAAGGGTCCAGTTAAGAAAACAAAAAAGCTCATAAAAACATATTAGAAGGACCAAGAGCAAGATAGTTAAAAAGATTATTCCAGTCGGGAATAAAATATAATTTCAATGGACTTTTCATGGACTGAAGCCATTTGATAAAGTTTCACATAAAATAGTAGTTTTCATGATCCTATGCCAACTAAAATCCAAACAAGGTTGGGGCAAATGTCCTCCTGTTTGCAGACGTTCTTGTGTTCTTCTTAGTTCTCATGAATTGACTCAAGGAAGTTACGTTGCCTGATTATGTAAGAAACAAGTGATGCTTATGTTCAGCTTGTGGAAATTCACACATACAATTAATGCTTTACATTCTTAATAAAAATAATGATATTTTAAAGAGGGGTATAAAAAGACTAAACTTCAGTGAAAACTACTGTGAAAATAGTACTTCCAAGTTTTACATTCTTTCTACTTGTGTGGTGTCCTGCAAGCCTGCTGAATCACCACTAGAGGGCGTTTGATCCTATTCGAATTCCTTATCGCTTATCACCAGCTTCTGTGCTTCGGAATGTTTTGAGTAGTTGCTGCGGATGTAATGATTATGGGTGGAGAACAATTGGCAGCCAAGCCCGTCTAAGCTAACAAAAGCTTGAGCCCTAAAAATGGAGGCTACTGGGTGCAGTGGGATTTCAAATTTCCTTCCTAAAGCTGACCCTGCAGGAGCTGGTCTTAAAACATCCTCGCTGCATGATTTTAATAGAATTCTATATCATTTCAAACATGGATTCACTTCATATAAAACATCACTTCTTTCAGGATCCACAAACCTCCACTAAAGTCAGGATTCTGAATCAGTGTTGTTCATCTTGTTTCGAAGCAGAAGTGACCATTTCTAACACTCGAGAACTTGATAAGGTGTTGCTGAGATTCCAACTCGGTACAACTCGGATTCCAACTCAGAGCTCATCACAGGATGAAATAAGATGCCAGATTTGTAGGTAAAAAATACTTTGCAATTCTCAGTTATTTCCCATCTTCAGATAAAGAATCACTGAGGCAACACGTGAATATTATCATCACTTCATCTTTCAATCATCAATTACTATCATCAATTTCCCTTCGGGATCAATAAAGTCTTATCTATCTATTAATATGTGAATATAAATAGGTTTCATTTTCTAACACAAAACAAGGGAAGGGATAATGATGTGCCTCAATACAAGTCAGCAACGATAAACTAAAGGGACTAGCTTGATAATGTACTGGAGTCGGTGATGCAAAATGTGGTCTTAAATTAGCATTTTACTGTTTGTTTTTCCACCCCAGAAAACTCCGTAAAGGAAAATTTTACACAATAGGTTTGTGTGGGTGCAGTTTCAGTTGAGTGGCCTCCAACACCCATCCTGTCAAAGACAGATTTCCCATTGAAATGCATTTAAACAGGGCAGCACCTTGCCTGGACCTCAGAGCCACCTCTTCAGGAAACAAGACCCAACAAACAATATTGTGTCGAATTTTGCAAATTGTCCCACGTTCTTATAGAAATCCATTAGTCCTATTCTCAGTACACTCCAGTCTCATTATGGGGAAGAATAAGAAAACAAATGATCACATATTATCTTATAGTATCTATAGAACAAGGGTATTTTATTGTAATCTGAATATGTTGATATACATCGCAGAAGAACACAATGACTACGTAGGAAAAATACGGATTGCACATTCTGAGAGAATCTGATAAGGAAAGAATGACATCAAGTCTCGTTGTTAGTCAGATGAAAAGAGCAAAGGGCTTCTGTATATATCGATGCCGAAGCATCATGTAAACTAGATACAGCAGGTCACTTTGCTTAATATGGCTCCAGTCCCCACCTAACGCACTGGAGCCTTCAGGGCTGTGCTGAGAGGAAGCGCACTGGCAGGGCTCCATCAGAACAAAGCTGCCGGGGTCTGAGAGACAATGAAGCCAGGAGCTCCAGAAAAACATCCTGGCTGTAAAACACGGCAGTGCCTGGACTGCGTGGGACGGGACAGGGTTCAGCCACAGAGCAGAGGCCTTCAATCAATCCAAGAAAAAACCCCAACTGCAATTCCTCCCCTCTTCGAGCCAGCATATTTACCAACACTTCACATCGCAATCAACTGCGGAACGAAACATTTTATTAGCAAAAATGCGGTCGGCCACAAACTTGAACCAAAGGATTACATGTTAGATTTTTCCATGTAACTAGCGCTTAATCCCATATTCACGTTAGATTTAAATTCCCTTGAGCTTGTTTACTATTTTCTTTCAAAGGGCAGCCTTTGAAAAGTTTACTTTCGGACACACACTATGAACAGACCGCAGGATTGATTTTTTTCTTCCAGCTTCAAGGGCTGAGGCTTACTTCTTGCAAAGAAAAAAATGGACACTCTGTTTAATTAATGTTCACAATAAACCAGTGGTATCGGGAAAGAAATATATCATTGGACACATTTGGGGTGTTTTGAAACTAAGACGTAATTTAAGGAGTGTCCATGCTTTCTATGGATATGAAACCCGTATCGTAAACTGTTAAAATTCAAATAATAAAATCGGCATCTCCGTTTTCTGTGTAATTTATTCTTCTCACCATTTGGCAGAAAATGTTTGATGTGGAGTTACAGTTTACACAGAAACTGTATTCCTTGGCACTGCTGTTATTGTTGCTGATAATGTTTTTGTCCTGAAAATCCTGAGGTTTTAATAAATCAGTCATGAAGGATTATCTCCAACACGCCTTCAAAATGGCACGAATGCTGTTTTTTAAATTCTGTACGTTGTGATGGTAGCCTGCTTCGTCATTTTGATCTTTAACAAAAGAGAATGAACCAAGTGGCTAAAATGACACCTTACCAAAAGGTCAATGGTGTCCAAAAAATTGCACTTGTATCTGTTAAAGAGAATTTAAGTACAATTCCTTTCAGTTTACCATGATAAACAGCTTTACGTTACCCTGCACATTGTCTTCAAGGTGCCTTGTTATAACTGTTCTGACAGAAAATACAAAATATAAACATAAACCCAATCCCTTCATCCATTCTTTCAATTTATTGAAAAGCATGACATTCATTAAATTATGATATATGATTATACTACCTGCCACTCTTGTAAAGAAATGCTGTATGAATGTCACTCAAACAGCAGAGAGAGCCTGAAAACAGCACGACAGAATGAATTAGCACCATGACCGCACATCACCCGATCCAGGGTGCCCTTGTGGTGGAAAACAAGACCCACGCAACCAGAATGTAATCATCTACCTCGCGATTTGTGATTTGATTTTGTTCTTGAGTCACATTAGATTTGTCCTTTCAGTAATTCCAGAATATAGTTCAGCTTTAGTTGATTTTTTTAGAAAGTTACAGTCTCAGAATCTGTCATCTAAACTTTTTAGGGAAAACAGTGCAAGGTCATTAGGTTTACAGTTTTGGTTAAATTACAGTAAAATGACATTTGTACAGATAAGACAGTGAGGTAAACCTCTCTAGATTCAGCACAATGCCTGTGCACCAGTGTTACCAATATATTTTGGATGACAGACATACTGATTGCAACGGATATATGCTGTAGTTCTAGGGCTTTATGACAGACTACACAGGATCTCCATCCATTATTCATCACTCATGTCCAGCTCACCATTTCCATCACCAGCTAAATGAACTGAAAGTAATTTAAAATCACTTGCATTTGTTTCTCTTTAACATCGAAATCTGAAGGGTGTGTTGGAATGAAGAAAACAGAAGTACGTCATTTCAGGGACACTTGTAGAGTAGGCGATAACATGAAAATTTGCACTATTTCTTATTTGAATCTGGCTTTGTAATGCATAGCATTTACTACTTTAGGTGGTTAAGATGCTATTAGAAAAAACACTGTTTTTATTGTGAAGGAGAACAGTTTCCACAGCGATAGAAACAATGAAAGACTGCCATTAGCGTGTTGAAGCACATGATTTTCAATCCGAGATGGAGCTGATGCTGCAAAGCATACGGATATGAGAC